GAGGTTTACGATCCGAATTGCACTCGAGCGCCATTATCACAGCCCCCAGACAATAGCTTCAATAATGTCTTGGCCGACATTAAAATGGAGGATGTGAAACATGAAAACAAGCATTAAGCAGAAAGTGTTTAGTCAAGGTCCTCTCGATAGTAGCTATAATAATGGCTACCAAAAGGATCATTACAAAATGAATGCTCCTTTTGATGTATTGCAAGCAAGTTCATGTGATTATTCCATGCCACAGTTCAAAGAGGACGAACCGGCATTTGTGGCCAAAGAAGAGGCAATCTATAATGAGGAGGAAGATTCTCATGAAATGGAACAAGATGCATCGCAGGAACAAAACTATGATGACAATAATAACAATGACGCAGATGATGAAGATATGACAAAAACAAATCTAATAGTCACAAAGCAAAACAAAAATGCCGGCAGATAGACATAATCTGTAAAAGGTGTAAAATCAGATTCTCAAAGAAATGATTGAGAGTTCTGATAAACTAAAAGCCGGAATGGTACGGAAAGCGGCACTAGAAACTGTGTACAAGTCGCTCGAAACTAAAATGGACGAGGCGAGATTGAATAATGTAAAATTGAACAAACTGGTAGCAAACAATGACGTATATTTCAAGGACAACATATGGAACCGACCCCTGAGCGTGCATGATATATGCAGAGGTCTCATGCAGAAAATTAAAGAAGAACTCGAAGTGGATGAAGGATTGGAAGAAATAGAAAAAATGATGAACACAAAAATCCAAATAATAATTGGGAAAATAAGTGGCGTAGAAGATGAAGCTCATGCGGTGGAATTAAAAAGAATAGAGATTCCAAGTTTTAATGGAAATGTGGAGGAATGGAGTTCCTTCTATGATCTGTTTAAAAAAATTATAGATGGTAATATTCAACTGTCGGATGTGCAAAAGCTGTATTATCTGAAAACCAAATTGAGAGGAGGAGCCTTACGATTAGTACAGCATCTACAAGTAACTGGCGTAAACTATAAGGCAGTAAAAAGCGATAACTGGCTAGAAAAGCGATACAGTAACAAGAGAATTTTATTCACAAAACTAATGGATACGATCACCCGAATATAGATACTCAATCGGCATCCAGCTTAAGGAAATTACTCGATAGCGTCAATGAGTGTTCACGCATTGAAGGCGATGGAGATACCATTAGACCATGCTGATCCGATTTTTAACCAGGATTATTATAAGAAAACTTGACAAAGAGGGACTTATTAGGTCCGAGCAAAATGTTAAAAAGTCTAAAGAAATTCAAAAACTTGCAGACGTGCTGGACATCCAATATCAAGCATTGAAAGTGCAGCAGACAGAATACAATACGTTCCAGAAATATTCAATATTCAAATCGGATGACGTATATAATGATGAAATGGAAACATTGAGGACAATGTATATAGATCTCCGGCAATAACTTCGAGAGTATGCAAATATTGTCATTTCCGAAGATATGTTCTTTAAATTAAATCGAATGACGAGCGTTTACAATGATGTAATGGAGGAACTGAATAACTGTTGATGTCTTCGGCAAGCCTTCATTTTAAAGGAGATTTGATGACACTAAAGACGATGCATTCAGAGAAAGCAGATATTAAGTTTTCTGAAGATACAGTGGCTCCATCGCATAATCGGACAAAAGGAGTATTTACTAAAACCAGAAGATTTTTGGAAGCAGGTAATTTAATGATAGATCATCTTAAAATACATTTCTATTGATAGTTTTCATTATATTAAGGTTCTGTTTACTGACGAAAGTAAATTTAATTTTCACGGATCAGATGGAAAGATGTATGTGTGGCGTAAGCCAAATGCTGAATTTAATCATAAGAATACAAAAGCCACTGTTAAGCACGGAGGAGGTTCTGTTATGGTTTGGGGCTGCATGTCGAGTGCGGGTGTAGCCAATTTGCATTTTATTGATGGTAAAATGGACAATTTTGTCTACCTCAACATTTTAAAACAAAATGTAAAGCAAAGTGCAGACAAATTGGGTATCGCGAACAACTTTGCCTTTTATCAAGACAACGATCCCAAGCACACATCAGGTGTTGCAAAGGTTTGGTTGATCCATAACTGCCCAAAACTTATACAAACACCAGCACAGAGCCCAGACCTTAACGTAATTGAGCATCTTTGGGAAGAATTAGCTAGGAGAGTGTATGAAAAAAATTTAACTCCTTAGTACAGCTTAAGGTGGCTTTACTGGAATCGTGGAACTCCATAGAGCCGTAGGTATGCCAGAATTTGGTCAAATCAATACTGAAGCGTTTACAGGCCGTTCTGGACAACAAAGGATATGCAACTAAATATTAATTTCTCGATTTTTTCATTTTTTAACATTGATACTTAGCTTTGTCCGATTTTGCGTTGAACACAATAAATTGAGTTAATTTTGTTTTTCTGACGAAATTTACTGTTATCACTAGAAAAGTTGTTGTTTTTTTGTATTGTTCAGAAATATAAGTAAGTAATGTGTAAATAAAAGCGAAAAAAACTACACATTTAGACAATTTTTTTGAAATGTATAACATTATTATATCTGACAACCACTTGTCCGATTATTCGATGGAGCCACTGTATGTTATTTAAATTAAATCGATTGGCGAACAAATAATATGTAGTAATAAAGGAGCTGAGTAGTAAATCGACATATGTTATTCATATGTTGGTGTCCTCGAAGATCCCTCATTGTAGAGAGAATTTGAATTTGGGTTTACTAGTACCGGATCGTGGATCGAAACTTTACCATTCCCGAACTTTGTAGGCTTGTGAAATGATCGTTGGGTGGGGATGGAAACGGTGTGGAAATTAGCATCGAGAGGTGTTGGTTTTATGCATCTGTTTTTCATTCTCTGTTTATGGTCATTCCATTGTGCAGAGCCTGAAGTTATTAGTTAGTAGCTTCGGCTACGGAACGTGCAGAGGTTAGTCTGTGGGGGACCATTCCCGAACTAACAGGCTCGTGGAGCAATTGTTGGCAGGTGTGAGATGTATGGTGGCTAACAATGTCGTGAGATGTTGGTGGTCACTTTTGCTTTGTATCCCCTTTCAGCGATTGTTTCATTGTAGAGAGCCTGCAAATGTTAGTTCTAATGGTAGTATCCTTGGCTACGAAGCTGGGCTGGGCAGTCTGTGAGTGACCAGTCTCGAACTGTTTGGGGTTCTACTGACAGTTGGTGTTGGCCCTTCGGGGAGCATCGTGCGGGTAGAGCTGTGGCTCGGTGTAGAGTTGCATTACAACCGGGTGTCTGACCCATATAAAGGCAGGAGTTTTAGATGGGCTCCACTCCTCATCCAAGGAGGTGATTGCGTCCAAATACTTATATTATCTGCATTTCGTGTGGGGACGTTGGTTGACCCTTTGTATTAACTCGTGTTTACAGCTCCGTGGGATAAGAGTAAGGTACCCACGTACTCTAAGAATCACTGTAGAGAGAATTTGATTGTAGCGTTTGAACTGGCTAGCAGGCTCAAGGCTTCATATCAGTTACTCAAGGTTGTTATATCCGCCTGAAAAATATATGTTTCGGAGTTGAAAAATCTGGTTTTACGAATACACAATTAATTCAAATTAAAAAAAAATATTTAAAAAATCTACGCCTTGTATAGTCTTTGGAAAAAATTATTTAAAAAATCTATGCCTCTGATAGGTCTAGAAAAAAATATTTATAATTTTGGTCTTATTTCGAATGCAAAATACTTACAGGAACATTGTTCTCCTCATTTTATAAGCACATCAAGGTTCAATTTTGGCCAATGGTTTATTCGATTAATTTTTTTCAAACCCATTATTTATTTTAAATTTCTTTCTGGAAAATTTAATTTCCAAGTTTTTAATTTTACTTTCATTTTCACTTATTATTTTTTCTTTAATAATTTTCAACATTAAACACTTCCTTTCAATACCACGCAGCAACTGAACTATGGAAGACAAGAAATAGTTGTAATATATGCATTTCTTATCAGTAGAATCTGAGGTTAGGTAGCAAATAGTTTATTACCCCATGTACATAACTACCTGTAATTTATGACTGCAGGACAATTAGGATAATAGAGTACTTAAGTGATTGGGTATGGATTTTCAGTAAGTCATAAATATAAGAATTTCCAGTCATTCATTTCTGTGATATTCCCCGGAAGACATAACACACAAATTTCCATGTGTTTACAATAAGAAATTTGACAGGGCGATGGGAATACTTGAATATCGCGGTAACACATGTTAACGATATGTAAATATTTAAGAGGAAGCATTGAAAGAACAGTAAACAGAGATTAGGAGAACATATTACGTTTGTAAATATCCGATATTTTCCACAAACGGTCTACGATTTCTTCTAGACGATCAGCAAAAGCATGGATTTTTAGAGTATTTTTTCCAAAGGCTACACAAGGCGTAGATTTTTTAAATAATTTTTTCCAAAGGCTAGACAAGGCGTAGATTTTTTAAATATTTTTTTCCAAAGGCTAGACAAGGCGTAGATTTTTAAAATAATTTTTTCCAAAGGCTAGACAAGGCGTAGATTTTTTAAATAATTTTTTCCAAAGGCTAGACAAGGCGTAGATTTTTTAAATATTTTTTTCCAAAGCTAGACATGGCGTAGATTTTTAAAATAATTTTTTCCAAAGGCTAGACAAGGCGTAGATTTTTAAAATATTTTTTTTTCAGATCCATACAAGGCGTAGATTTTTTTAATAATTAAAAAAATAAAAAGTCCGCCTATATGGAGGCCTCCTAAAAAATATTTTTTTAAAAAATTAATTTAAAAAAGTGTCCGGTTTTATGTTCTTTTATTTTATTTATTTTCTTCTCTTTATTTTATAAAATTATCTAACAGATATATGTATGTGTGTATATATATACAATAGTTATTACAACAAAAAAATACAAAATTTTCAAATTCTATTTGACATTTCTGTTACAAAAGAAAAAAGTCTTCCAAGTGACTAGCAAATCTCTGCCCTCTCCGGAACTTAAGATCTCCTCTCCTTCTTGTCCTTCAAGCGAGCATAACAATCGGGAATGTTACGATAGAAATCGCACAATTTCGTTTCGGGGTTAAAGGCCAAATAGCGACCACAAGTGTACAAACGTGGATGACCATTGACACAGACGAAATATTTTTTGCAGGTGTTAGGGTGAGGATAATAACGCAATTCACCTTCGGGTGTCACATCCACATTCACACTACCATCATTTTCTTCGGGTGGGGGGCAAGTGAAACCCAAAAAGGCCTCAGCATTACAATCCTTAACTAGATCGGGCCAATCACATTGATACGTATCAACATTGAATGCCAAACCTTCAGGACATTTGGTGAGAGTAGCTTCACCATGGGCACAATTATGATAAACACCACATTTGGCGGGATCACCCAAAGGATAGAAACCAAATTGACGGGGGCATTGTTCGGTACCATTGGCTGGCTGGAGACGGGTACGTTCCTTGCAGGTGGAGAAGGGTGAGTAGGTACATTCACCCTGGGCCTTGGCACGAGGATTGAATACAAGGCCATCAGGGCAGAGTTTCTCTTCGGCCACTCCATCCACACATTCGAAATAGGCATCACATTGTTCGGGATGAGGGAAACGGCCCTTTGGTTCGGGGCATTCGGAAATGGCAAGGGCTGGAAGAAAATTTGGAAAATAATTATTATTAAAATTGATTTACATTTCATGCAAAAAACAAAAGACTTAAGACACAAACTTTGAAGGGAGTAGAAATTTGCTTCAAGATCCAGAAAAAATTAAAATTAAAAAATCCACGCCTTTGAAAACTTTTAAAAAATATTTTTTTAAAAACTCCACGCCTTTGGAAATTTATAAGAAATATCTTTTAAAAAATTCACGCCTTAGGAAATTTCAAAAAATATTTTTTTTAAATCCGCTCCTGTAGAAAATTTTCAAGTTTAAAAATATATATTTAAAATTTCCAAACAAAAGACTTAAGGCACATTTTTTTAGTATATAACAAAGAACTTAAGACACAAACCTTCTGTTAAGATTATCTTCTTCGATGGCTTTTCCCTAACTGTCTTCAAAGATCAAATTAAAAAAAACATTTTACAAATTTTGTTATAAAATTTCATTTATTTTTTTATCGGCATTCAAAAAAAAACCAATTATTATTTTGTAAAAAACACACATTATTTCAACTATGGACTAGAAATTTCTAACTGAAATAGGGAAAAAATTAACAATTATATCCATCCTTCCGATAGCATTATTTGTGTCCAGCCTTTCTGGCAGCGGCGGCCGACAAGCGGGCATTTTTAATTTCAATTCCACGTTGTTTAATTTCAGGACTACAGTTGGGTACATTTTCAATATCATCACACTGTTTCAACTCTTCATTGAAAGCCTGATCTTCACCGCAGGAGATACGTCTTGGACGACCTTCGATGCACAAGTAATATTGCTGGCAATTGTTGGGCGATGGATAGAAGGTGTATTCCTCCTCGGGTTCACCCAACAGGGGGGATCTGGCTGGCAATGCTGGGCATTTGAAACCCAAAAAGGCCTCAGCATCACAATCCTCAACTTGATCGGGCCAATCACATCTATAGGTGGCCGGGTTCCATGCCAAACCATCAGGACAATCAAGGATATAACCACGTCCCGAAGCACAATTCTTAAATTGGCCACAGTTCTTGGAATCACCCATGCGATAATAACCAAATTGACGTGGACATTCGTCGGTGGATTGGGGAGGTTGGCTACGAGCTTGGGGTTGATCACATTGAACTTCAATGGGATAGCCACAGGGATAACCAGAAGTTCTGCCATTGAACAGCAAACCATCGGGACACAATTTCTCCTCTGGAACACCATTTCTACATTCAATATAGGCATCACAGGAACCGGACACGGGGTAGGTGCCATTAGCTTCAAGACAGGGACCAGCGGCCACAGCTGAAAATATAACCAACAAAAGACAGAATAAAAAGTTCAAATTAATAAATTTCCAAAACGGCTTACCTACAAATAATATTGAGTCAAAATAATAAGCACAATTTTATTTTTTAATTTAAAAAAAAAAATCACTTAGAAGAACATTTTTTAAACACTAGCACAGCTATTTTTGAATGTTTTGAACGAAGGCGTGTATATTTTAAAATATTTTTCAAAGGCCTTATAAGACGTGGGCCCATCAAAGGCGTGGATTTTTTAAAAATATTTTTCAAAGGCCCTACAAGGCGTGGGTCCACCAAAGGCGTGGCGTTTTTAAAAATATTTTAAAGGCCTTACAAGGCGTGGGTCCATCAAAGGCGTGGATTTTTTAAAAATATTTTTCAAAGGCCTTACAAGGCGTGGGTCCATCAAAGGCGTGGATTTTTTAAAAATATTTTTCAAAGGCCTTACAAGGCGTGGGTCCATCAAAGGCGTGGATTTTTTAAAAATATTTTTCAAAGGCCTTACTAGGCGTGGGTCCATCAAAGGCGTGTTTTTTTTCAAATAGTTTTCAAAGGTTTTACAAGGAGTGGGGGTTCATCGAAGGCGTGGATTTTTTAAAAACATTTTTCAAAGGCCTTACAAGGCGTGGATTTTTTAAAAACATTTTTCAAAGGCCTTACAAGGCGTGGATTTTTTAAAAACATTTTTCAAAGGCCTTACAAGGCGTGGATTTTTTAAAAACATTTTTCAAAGGCCTTACAAGGCGTGGATTTTTTAAAAACATTTTTCAAAGGCCTTACAAGGCGTGGATTTTTTAAAAACATTTTTCAAAGGCCTTACAAGGCGTGGATTTTTTAAAAACATTTTTCAAAGGCCTTACAAGGCGTGGATTTTTTAAAAACATTTTTCAAAGGCCTTACAAGGCGTGGATTTTTTAAAAACATTTTTCAAAGGCCTTACAAGGCGTGGGTTTTTTAAAAACATTTTTCAAAGGCCTTACAAGGCGTGGATTTTTTAAAAACATTTTTAAATAAAGGGCGTGGATTTTTTAAAAACATTTTTAAATAAAGGGCGTTGATTTTTTAAAACATTTTTAAATAAAGGACGTTGATTTTTTAAAAATATTTTTAAATAAAGGGCGTTGATTTTTTAAAAATATTTTTCAAAGGCCTTACAAGGCATGGGTCCATAAAAGGGGTGGATTTTTTAAAAATATTTTTCACAGGCCTTACAAGGCGTGGGTCCATCAAAGGCGGAGATTTTTTAAAAATATTTTTCAAAAGCCTTACAAGCCTTCTAAACCATTTTTGAAGGTCTGTATTTTTAAATATTTTTGAGGATCTTAATATAGGAGTGATTTTTTAAAATGATGAACCGTGGTGTTTTAAAAAAAAAACAAATATTTTTTTGTTCCTATTATGTTGTCATGCTTAATTTTGTTTAATGTTGCCATCTGCCCAATGACGTCAATCGTGACATTTAAAGAAGATTTCTGGAAAAAAATGTTTCCATTAAAACCGGCTTTTTCGTATAGGAAATACAATGAATATTTTTTTTCTCCCTAAAAATTAAAATTTCGGTTTTAAAGAATTTGGTCCAAAAAACCAACATAAGGTGACTCCGAAACCTGTCCAACCGCAACGTGTCAATAATAATTATGCAATAAAACAAGAATAACAAAAACAATGTCGTTTTAACATTTTAAAATAAATATTGATGCCAATGGATACAGAGCAACAATAACAACGTCGCCACAGACAAACAGCGCAAGCTCAGACGCTGCCGAAGATGATACACAAATGACCTTGAATTATAAATGCGAAATAAATGTGAAGACAAGACAAAAAAAAAAACAAAAACAAACAATAGCAACAGACACCATATCCAATAACAACAACAAATATAAAATAAATTGGATTTAATATTTATTGGTATTTATATTGATTTTTATTGAGATAAGATCCAAACCAGAAAAATATATAAAGAAAAAAAGGTTTGCTTCTTAAGTCTTTTGTTATTCCCCTAACGAAAATTTAATTTTGCAAAAAAAAAATATTTTTTTTGAAAATTAAAAATAAATTTAAAATTCGAAATTGACCCCAAAAACAATTTGATGTGTTTTTTTGTAATTTGTTGTTGTATTCGAAAACCCATTATGGGTGGGGTCATTGCTTCTATTTGTCATTTATGTAAATTAAATTTTAAGGTTATTTGTCATGTTATTTTATTGTAGTTTTCTTGTTGTTGTTATTGTTGTAGAGTATTTAACACTTAATACATCAATCTCTTCTTAATTGTTGTCATTAATTATTTACTCGTTTTATTTGTTATTGTTTGTGGTTATTTGTTTGTTAGAACGGCGTACGCATTACACATTTCTCACTACAAAGCATCCATTGTAATTGAGAGCTGGTTCGAAAGGTTGTTGTTGTAATAAATTTCCCAGATTTGAAATTAATTGAAGGGGGATTGTAAACAATTATAGAGCCATATAATAGTTTTAGAAACATATTTTATAGGAGAGGCGTAGATTTTTTTAAAATATTTTTTTTCCAAAGACTAGATAAGGCGTAGATTTTCGAAATATTTTCAGAGATTTTTTTAATAATTTTTTTAGAGGTTTTCATAAGACGTATATTTTTATACCCTACACAACTATGTTGTCAGGGTATTATAGCTTTGTGCAGTCCCAAGAGATTGTAATGCCGCGAAATATTGATCCTAGACCCACCATTAAGTAAACCGATCGCCATATCTCGACTAGCTTAGTCGATCTAGACATGTGTGTCCGTCCTTTCGTCCGCCCGCCTGTCCATTACAATTTGTAAACACGATACAGGCCACCGTTATGGACCAATCTTTACGAAATTACATGTAGGATGGGTTCGGCCTAATGAAGACCCCTATTGTTTTTGGTAAAGATCGATTAATATTTAGAGGATGAAATGGAACAAATACTAAATTTTTGTCGGTTTTTCTGGTCGCTCCGTAATTATGACCCAAATCTCGTGATTTTTAACATGGAGATGGGGATCGGGCCAAAGAAAAAGCATGCCTGTTTTAATAAAGATCGCTCAATATTTAGCGGGTCAAATGGACCCTGACTTTTGTGTGAAAAATTACAAAATTTGTTTTCTATAGCGTATATATTTACTCCTGAAGGACATAGACCCGAGAAGTTGATAGTATATCCAAGAGGAGTGGTTGGCCTTTAAATTGATACCAATTATATTGTCGTATGTACTCGGATGTGGGAGTTACACTTAAATATTTACAGGTGCTTCATATATTATTTAGTAACCCATTACCACACTAGATGGCGGAAATATAGCACTGATCACTTTGAAATGTTCCATGAGGTTCCAGTTATGGTCAAGGACAATGCCTACAATTTTCGATGATGATCAGATAATAATATTGGGATGAAGTGTAACGAAAACTTATTTTTTTTGTGTTTTTCGAGTCGATCTATATGCCACAATTGTAAGGCCGAACATCACAACACAGTCCACGGTGAAGTGAATCTGGACAAGTAATTAGAAGGTCTGTATTGAATATTAGTAATACTTATTGACCTCTAGTCGGCCAAGGGGGTGCAAATATTGCGAAATATTGTCCATGCTCAGAATATAGAGCCACATACAGTTAGATTCTGGTGGAAGTGGTGTAGGCTATCATATGGTCGGCCCCGTCCGACTGAGCAGTATAGTCGGACGGGGCCTGTTTTTAAATAATTTTGTTAAGTTCTATTCAAGGCATAGATTTTTTTAATAATTTTTTCCAAAAACTAGATAAGGCGCAAATTTGTTTAATCATTTTTTCCAAAAACTAGAGAAGGCGCAGATTTTTTAAATAATTTTTTCAAAGGGTCTACACAAAGCGAAGATTTTTTAACTTATTTTTTTATTTTTTCAAGATTATACACAAGGCGTACATTTTTTAGGCTTAGAATTTTTAAATAATTTTTTCAGAGACCTAGGCAAGGCGCTAATTTTTTTCAATTTTTCACATGGCGAAGATTTTTTAACTAATTTTTTCAAGGTTCTACACAAGACGTAGATTTTTAAAATATTTTTTTCGGAGGCCTACACAAGGCGTAGATGTTTAGATAATTTTTTCGGAGGCCTACACAAGGCGTAGATGTTTATATAATTTTTTCGGAGGCCTAAACAAGGCGTAGATGTTTTAAATACTTTTTTGGGGGGCTACTTAAGGCTTAGATGTTTAGATAATTTTTTCGGAGGGCTAGCAAAGGCGCAGATTTTCAAAATATTTTTTTTTTCGGAAGCCAACATATGGCATAAATAATTTTTTTTTCTAGGATCCATCCAAGGCGTAGATTTTTTAAATAATTTTTTCTATGGTCCAGACAAGGCGTAGATTTTTTAAATAATTTTTTTTCTAGGATCCATCCAAGGATTCGTAGATTTTTTAAATAATTTTTTTTTCTAGGATCCATCTAAGGATTCGTAGATTTTTTAAATATTTTTTTTTCTAGGATCCATCCAAGGATTCGTAGATTTTTTAAATAATTTTTTTTTCTAGGATCTAGGATTTTCAAAATATTTTTTTCGGAAGCCAACATATGGCATAGAATTTTTAAATATTTTTTTTCACAAGGGTTCATCCAAAGCGTATTTTTTCAAATTAATTTTTTTTCTGAACCTAGGACGTAGATTTTTAAAATAATTAGGCCTAAAAAAAATTCGTTGGTGTACATAAGGCGAAGATTTTGTATATATATTTTTCCAAAGCCTTGACAAGACCAGACAAGGCGTAGAGTTTTTAAACAAGTTTTTCCAAAGACTAGACAAGGAGTAGAATTTTCTGTGGTCCATCCAAAGTTTATTTTTAAATAATTCTTTCGAAGGTCCATCCAAAGTGTAGATATTTTTAATAATTTTTCCAAAGTCTTAACAAGTCGTAAATTTTTTCCAAAGCAATCTTCAGTTCGCCTTTAAAATTATCGGCCTCAGTTGGCCAAATAGAAATTGCCAGCGTTGTGTTTACCAATAAAATGTCCCTCTTTCGGTTCGTTTATTGAGTTTGTCTACCAAAAAGTGCCGCCCTTCCGCTATTTTATAAAGTTTTCTTTTTATATTTTTCTCTTGTAAAAATATACCCCTTTTAAGATCCTTTAAGGACATTTTGTTACTAATTTAAACGATAAATATTTTCTCACATATTCCAAATCACTTTCAATACAACTTTAATAAATATCCATTATTTGAATATCACAATTTGTGTTTGTGTCTTAAGTCTTTTGTTTCACAATAAACAAACACACACAGAGATCCAGTTGACATTTAAATATCGTACGTAATTTATTTTTATAGTTATTTGTTTTTTTTTTCAGTACACATTTTGCAATTAACTTGTTATTTATCTTGTTGTTGTTTTTTTGAAAATCGAAAATAAAATAAAAAAAAAAAAAAAAATACTAACCCATTGAGCCAAACATGGCCAGACACACCACGGCACTTAAAATAATTTTTGCCATTTTTTCGCGATTGTTTTTTTAAGTTATTTTAAAATAACTTTGATTTTATGTGAAAACAAAAATCCTTTTTGCGAAAAGTTTTTGAAACTTTTCCGTTAGCAAAAAATAAAACGTTGTGAATGATACAAGCTTCGGCTAAAGACTGATGCTGGCAAATTCGTATCTGTTATAAGTGGGCAGACAGTTGTTGATCATCAATGATGAGTATGGGTGTGTGTGTTTGACAAAAAAAGCTCATCTAAACTTTAACAACCTTTAAGTGAAGAAGATCCACATGAAATTAGGTGCGTACAAAATAAAAAAATCAACATGTTTTCTTGAAATTTCGTACGAAAATATTATGATATGGGTAGAACCCCTAAAACACACACAAACACATCGTCACATATACAAATGCATGTATATGCAAATTAAAAATATCACACTTCCAGTTTTGATTGTTTAACATCGAAAACGAAAACTGGAAATAAATCTTCTGGTTTTCGGAAATATCCATTGGTGGTTCCATCAGTCATAGTCATGTCACTTCTCACTTGTTCGCTCACTGTCAATTTTTATGCTAATGATTGATGCTAATAAATTATTATGTTTTTATTAACTATTCGTTTTTTTTTTTTGTTGTTAGGCGTAATGTTGTCAAATTTGAAGATCATTTCTAAATAAAAAAAAAACATTTGAAGGTTGGATTTTTTTAAAGGAGGAATTCCGGTATTTTTTAAATATTTTTTTTTCAGAGACCTATCTAAGGCGTAGATTGTTTTAAATATTTTTTTCCTGGGACCATACAGGGCGTAGATTTTCAAATCTACCTCTATATCTTAACCCTACACACCCATTCCGACCGCAACAGAAATCTACCTCTGTACTAAATTTGGTGCCATTTTTACCCTTTGTACTCTTGTAATATTTATTTTGAAAAAATCAAATATATCTTCACCCAAATCCAAATTGAGTATCAGTTAGAGCACATTAATAAATTTCCATAACTACCTACTTTAACAATGAGAAGTACGTATTTCCAACACTTACCCCACATACCCCAATCTTAGTTCCAAATTTCAGGATTCTATCGGTTCACCTAAATCCAATTTGTATTAAAATTGTACCAAATTTAGTACACATTTCTAAAACTTCCAACATATCTCAATCTTACACCTCAACCGTGATCCCAAATCCAAGTTACAGGATTCCAACTCTATCGCTTAACCCACAATTTAAATTGTACCAAATTTAGTACACAGTAGTATGAATTTTCAAAACTTCCAACTGAACTCAAACCAACACACCCACAGTGATCCTAAATCCAAGTTTCAGGATTCCAACTCTATTGTACCAAATTTAGTACACAATAGCACAAATTTCTAAAACTTCTTACATATCTCAATCTGACACCCCAACAGTGATTCTGACTCCAAATTTCATGATTCTAGCTCTATTAGTTCACCTAAAATTCAAATTGTACCAAATTTAGTACCCATAAGCATTAATTTCGGAAAACTGAATCCTGACCCTAATCCTACACCTGACTCCAAATTTCATTATTCCAGATCTATCGGTTCACCCAAATCCAAATTGTACCCATTATAGTAAGATTTAGTACTTTTCGTACACATAAGGAAAACAGTTCCAAAACTACGTACATAGCCCAATCCGACGGTAATGTTAATTTCAAATTTCAGGGTTCCAGCTCGATTTGTACCTCCGAATTAAATTTGTACCAAATATAGTACCATGTAGTACTTTTCGTACACGCTTCCAAAACCATCTCCTTAAATAGAACTACATCTCAAACCAAATTTTAAGATTTTAGCTGTATTCATTCACATGCTAAGAAATTGTACCAAATTTAGTACATTTTAGTACTTTTCGTTGCCCGGGCCATAACATTAAAATTCTGCTAGGAGATTTTAATGCAAAAATCGGAAGGGAAAATATCTTTGGCCGCACCGTCGGAAAATTCAGCCTCCATGAAGAAACATCAGACAACGGCATGAGGTTGATTGACTTCGCGGCAGCAAAAAAACATGGTAGTTAGCAGCACCAGATTCAAGCATCTCGATATACACAAGGCCACCTGGATCTCTCCTGATCAAGCAACGAAAAATCAAATTGATCATGTTGTGATAGACGGAAGGCATTCATCCAGTGTTTTAGACGTCCGATCGACCCGGGGAGCGAATATCGATTCGGACCATTACCTTGTGACAGCCAAGGTACGCACCCGTCTTAATGTAGCAGCAAAGGTGCGATCTAATGTAACACGTCGAAAAGCTGCAAACACAACAGATAGCAGAAGCCTACTCCGCTCAACTTACATAACTGCTTGACGAAAGCACTTCTTGTCCCGATAATAATATAGAAGCACAATGGCAGAGAATTGCCCACTCCCTACAAACTGCAATTTGGTACCAAAATCCACCATCAAGAAACCCATGGTACGATCAGGATGCTACTGATATGAAAAACGCAGCATATAGGGCAACCCTGCGGACAGTAGCAACACGTAATTCGAATGCTTTGGTGCAGGCACATCCTCCTGTAGAGATGAAGAAGTGAGGATCTGGAAAGAGCATTTTGAAAACCTTCTGGTATCAAATAGTAGCGGTGAAGAGGATACACCAGAACCAATAATAGATGACGATATAGAGTGTATACCACCTAACCAAGATGAAGTCAGAATAGCAATCAATCGGCTGAAGAATAATAAAGCAGCAGGTGCCGATAGATTACAAGCCGAACTATTCAAGACTGGTGGTCAGATGCTGGTAAGGAGCATGCTCCAGCTGATTAGTACAATTTGGAAAGAGGTACGCATGCCCAATGATTGGAACCTCAGCATCCTGTGTCCCGTGCACAAAAAAGGACACAAGACGATATGTGCCAACTATAGAGGAATATGTCTCCTTCCCATCGCATATAAAGTGCTATCCAGCGTACTGTGTGAACGACTGAAGCCAATGGTCAATGACAATGCGGCTTCAGACCTGGCAAATCCACCATTGACCAGATTTTCACTCTGCACCAAATCCTGGAAAAAACCCACGAAAAACACATCGACACATACCACCTATTCGTCGACTATAAAGCCGCATTCGACAGCGCTATCCGTTTAGAGGTGTTTAAAGTCATGTCTGCATTTGACATTCGTGCAAAATACGGCTATGCAGTATAACGTTAACAGGTACACGTTAACAGGCAGTTAAAGTCGCAAAAAAGAACCTGTCGAAGCCCTTCAATACCTAACTAGGATTCAGACAAGGTGATAGTTGGTCGTGTGACCTTTTTTTAACATCCAGCTGGAAAAGGTCATACGAGAGGCGAAGGTGAACAGAAATGTCACTATGTACACCAAACTACACATGTTACTCGCCTATGTCGATAACATCGATATGATGGGTCGAACATTGCGAGCGGTAACAGCCACCTTTGAACAAATTGAGAAGGAGTCTGCCAAAGTGGGTCTGGCAGTGAACCAAGCTCATGGTATCAACGCGTATGACGTCCAGTAGACTCGGACCAACTGTGGAACTTGAGAACTACAGCTTCAAAGTAGTTAAAGATTTTAATATACATTGGTACCACCATAAATAAAACGAATGACATCAGTTTTGAAATTCGGAGAAGGTTAGTGATGGCCAACCGATGCTACTATGGTCTGAGCAAACAACTCAAAAGCAAGGCCACCTCCCGCCAGACCAAAACTCACACTTTACAAGACGCTGATACTACCCGTGGATCTGAAGCATGGGTACTTGCGCAAGTAAATGAGACAGCTCTTGGGGTGTTTGAAAGGAAAATACTCCGAAACATCTATGGGCGGATCTGCGTTGACGGTGAATATCGCCGTCGAATGAACCATGAGTTGTACCAGCTATTCTAGGACATCGACATTATTAGACGAATTGAGCTGCAGCAACTAGATAGACTAGGTATATAAGAAGGCATATAAAAGCGAACCAGCTGGTGGTTCACGTAGAAGGGGAAGGCCACGTTAGATGCCTATCCAAGGCGTAGATTTTTAAAATAAGTTTTTCAGAGTTCCATCCAAGGTGAGATTTTTTAATAATATTTTGAGAGGCCTTTTCAAGGCGTAGATTTTTTTTAAATGTTTAAAACCAATTTGATGTTTTGTTTCCTTCCTATTTTTGTTTCGAAATATTCTCACAAACATTTCTAGAACTGAAACTCATATATTCCACCCAATATAAATTTTTTTCATCGATGATTCAGTTCAAAAAAATTATAATTATTTCAACTGAATTTTTGGTTGAGATTATTCATGAGTTAAAATAGATTTTTATGAATTTCAAACACGTACCTTTCTTCGGCTGGTACTTTTTGAGACTGCTCACTGGTATTTCTTGTTCATGTTTTTTTTTTTTGTCTTTTTCAGAGACTCCGTTAAAAAAAATAAAAAAAAATAAATTTTAATCTTTGATAAAAAAAAATTAAGAACCTTGAAGGCATGCTGCTGCGATAACGGCATGCTTCAAAAGCCTTGACATTTATTTCTGTGAAACTAAATATAAAAACAACAACAAAATAAAATAAGTTTGAAGATGGGATGCGATGCGTTCAAATATTAGCATGTAAAGCAAAATTTATAATATTTTTTGAACACTTCAAATAGTGGTGAATTTTTATACCCTACAAAACTATGTTGTCAGGGTATTATAGCTTTGTGCAGCCCGAAGAGTTTGTAACGCCGCGAAATATTGTTCATAGACCCAGCGTCCGACCGTCCATTATAATTTGTAAACACGATACAGGCCACAGTTATGGACCAATCTTCACGAAATTTTGCATATAGGATGGGTTCTGACCAATGAAGACCCCTATTGTTGCCGGTAAAGATTGGTTAATATTTAGGGGATGAAATGGACCAAATAGCGAAATTTTACATGGAAAATAGGACCGGGCCATAGAATAAGAATGTCTGTTTTTATATCAATATTTGGCGGGTCAAATGGACCCTGACTTTTGTGTGAAAAATGACAAATTTTGTATTCTATGG